TTCTTCTCTTCGGAACAAGAAGTGATATTCTCGATGCATACTGTCTTCCGCATTGGTGAGGTCAAACAAATCGAAGGAAATAACAAATTATGGCGGGTAAACCTTACCCAGACGGCTGATACCGATCCACTGCTGAGTGTTCTCACCAAACGAATGCGGGAGGAAATAAAATGTGGATCAACGCAGTGGCATCGATTAGGAGTGCTGCTCTTTAAACTAGGCCAGTATGACAAGGCCGAACAAATATATGAACAACTGATTGATCAGAATAACTCAGACGATGCTGATAAAGCACATTTATTGCATATGATGGGATTACTCAAGAGTTCGAAGAACGATCACACAGCTTCGATTTCATTTTACAAAAAATCCATTGATCTTTACTGTAGATGTTTTTCTGCAGATCATCTCTGCTTGGTTCCTTCTTATAGTAACATCGGGTTAGAATGCTCAGCTTTGGGGGAGTACTCGCAAGCCCTTCCATGGTACGAAAAAGCGCTTGAAATATGCCGAAATGTGCTTCCTCTAAATCATGAGAATTTCGCTTATATTTACAATAATTTCGGTTCAACGTATCAGAAATTGGGCGAGTACTCGAAAGCACTTTCATTTTATGAAAAGGCTCTAACGATCGAGAAGATAGCTCTCCCTCCGAATCATCCCACGCTGGCTGTGACTTACAACGAGATTGGCAATATTTATAACGAGACCGGTGAATATTCGAAAGCACTATTATCGTACACAAAAGCGATTGAAATCAAACAAAACTCCCTTCCTTCTAATCACCCTTCGTTGGCAACATCCTATCAGCTTACTGGTTCGCTGTATCAGACAATGGGTGAACAATCAAAAGCGCTTTCTTTCTTCGAAGAAGAACTTAAAGTCAAGCACAACATTCTCCCTCGAAATGATCCTGAGCTATTTATTATTTACCTCTGCATTGGGACCACACATTACAAACTCGGCAACTACCCTAAGGCACTTGAGTTTTACGAAAAATATCATGAGATGTGCGAAGAAAAGTTCGGTGCAAATCATTCGAATCTGATTGTTTCTTGTGATGGCATCAGTTTAGCGTATGAAGCCATGGGTGAATGCTCGAAAGCACTTGAGTCTCAGAAGAAAGCGCTGGAAATCCGCCAAAACATTATTCCTCCAGATCATTCAGCCATGATTCAGTGCAATAACAAAGTTGGCAAGCTATATTTTTGGTTCAACGTATAACAAGCTGGGCGAGTATTCTAAAGCGCTTTCGTTTTCCGAACAAGCTGTCGCCATCTACGAAAAAACTTGCCTTACGGGCGATCATTCGTTGGCTGATTGCTACAACAATATCGGTGCAGCATATGATAACATGGGCGAATACTCGAAAGCGCTTTCGTCCCATAAAAAGACGCTCGATATTCTTCAAAAATCTCTCCCTCCAAATCATCCAAAGTTCGCTGCACCCTATAATAATATCGGGTCGGTCTATCTTAAGATGGGAATATACTCCAAAGCGCTATCTTCTTACGAAAAAGCACTTGACATCTACGAAAGCACACTTCATCCGGACCATCTCCAATTGTCTACCTTGTATAATAACATGGGCTGCGTCTGTGCGAATCTGGACGATTACTCAAGCGCCTTTTCGTATTATGAAAAAGTCCTTCTAATCCGACAGAAACTTCTACCTCCTAATCACCCTGATCTCATCAAATGTATAAAAATCCTCGAATTTTTGAGAAAGAAATTGTAATTTCATAGTATAAAGAAATATATTGAGAGAAGCGAGTGCATGGAATCAAAATGTCTTTTCTCACGTGGGGTCCTGTGTCATCAGTGGAGAATGAGCATAGGAATCGATTACCTAACAAAAACCTAAATCTTCGTTCCTTTTTCCGAAGAAAATAGTAGAGAATTCGCAATCGATCGTTACCTAACCCAGATGGTAAGCTGAAGTCGTCAGAAAACAATTGAGAATTTCCAGTTGATTGTCACCCACACTAGTCATAATATAACACAGAGTTCGCTATTGCTCGTTACCAAGTCGGTGACCCAAAGTCGTTGGAAAATAATAGAGAATTCGCAATCGGTGCTTACCTAATATACATGGTGAACTAAACTAAGGTGCCACTAATTCAGAGTTCCCACAAGTTTTATTGTTCGTTTTAACACACATATTCCGATTCGCCGTGAGTTGCTGATCACGAATCTGACCTTTTTTTTCGATTTACATAAAGTCTTCAGGGAGAAAAATGCAAAATACTGAGAATAGCTTAACGACATGAAAAATTTATCGTTTCAGAAACTTGGTTAGAACTTTCTTTTCTTTTTACATGATTAGCATGATCAAAGCTTTTCATCGTAATATCCCTCACCGGTATAAAATGAAGATAAACGCGTCAATGTTATTCTCACGAATCTATTCTCCATCCAAAAGAAAAAATATCTATGAGAGAAATCTAGCTATATTTTATCTATAATTTGATGATGCACGACTAGTTGTCATGCAGTTTACTGGTCCGAAAAGGGACTTTTAATTGGATCTGTCTGCATGTACAACTAGCAATAGTTAAATCGAGCGATTATTTGGCGATAAATCGATAGTTGCATCCTGCCTACGCCACTGGATCTAGCCGCTATAAAAGAAGCATCAAGTATTAATATTTCACGACAATAAGATTATCTCACGAGGTGATAAATCGCTTTTTGATCGAAATCTAGCGGGTTATAGGTTATCGACCATGCTGATCCCGAATATGACCATTGGGGCTGCCCACAGCCCTTCAAAGATCCGATCTTCTAGACGGATTGTAGCCCGCAAATTTCTGATTAAAATGAGATATCCGCCGGCTCTACACGACCTTTCTTGCAAAGCTAAAGAATTTATAACAAAAGCCCTAAATTAATTATTTCTGTAGCTTTGGCTAACAATGAACAATTTAGGGCTTTTATCATAAATTCGATAACTGTACAAAAAAAGGTCGTGTAGAGCTGGCGGATATCTCATTTTAATCAGAAATTTGCGGGCTACAACCCTGTATTGTTAAGAAAGGTTTGGGTTATTTTCTAGAGTTTCCGAAAAACTGATTTTCTAGAAGACTGGACCTTTGCACCGCTGCGGGCAAACCCAATGATCATATTCCAAATGGTCAAATCCTTTTAGGGTCCTCTGGCCTCACTAAGTCCCACTTATGATGTAAGTATGAACCTTAAAGCTTTTAATCAGTTGGTGGGATTCCCTAGTTAGATGCAAATAATTCAAACTTCGAGTGACACTTATTTTTCTTTTTTTCATGCATATTTGGATAGAGGACTTCAGAGCGGTCAATAATACACGCGCGTCGAATTTTTTTGATCCTTTTTCCGGTTCGAAAAATCCCAAAAAACTCAAAGGCTGTCAAGGAACGAAAAAACGACGATGTTTGGAAAAGTTAGATTTTTCGCCGTAGGTTTCTAGTCGGAATTTTCAAACTACTTTATTCTTAGATGATCAATCCAACGATTTGAATGAATTCCGACTAATTTAAAGTGTCAAAGTAGTCCGATTAATTTACTCTCAAACTGGTTACCACTAGTTTGATGAAAATCAGTGTAAATGAGTCCAAACTAGAAAATACTTAGACCAATGTTTGACAGACGCTTTCTAGAAATCAACTGTACTGAACGAACAAAAATGAAAATTCAACTACATGAATGATTAACCTTTGACCCATTAAGTTCGAGAAAATAGCGGTATAACTATGGCGTCCTGGTCTCAAAAGTAAGAAAAAACAGATGACGAGTATCGATTTGATCGACGATCGTGGTTCCGAAGAACTGGATGTGATGCTTCAGTCTCATCACGAATTTTTCGTAGTACACATTTGGGTATTTTTGGCAGTGTTTCGTGGGAGGTTGGGGTATGGGCAGTATAAGAGTGAGTTCAAAAAGTAGTTTCACATAAAACATGTAATCATCGTGCGAAACTGTATATCTGTAACTGTATCACATAGTGCCCATTTGGGTAAGGTTGGTTATCATGTCTGTAGTTAATATATATCACTAAATCTCTGGATTGGGTGAGGGTGAGGAGTGAGGGTAGGATTAGCGAGACACACATGACAACCTAACCTAACCCAACCCAAACATTCAGTGATATATGTTGAGTAGAGACATGACAACCCAACCCAGACATATAGAACTGATGATCACTAGTGAGAAACACATGATAACCCAACGTAACCCAACCCAAACATTTAGTGATACATGTTGAGTACAGACATTACAACCCAACCCAACTCAGACATATAGAACTGATGATTACTAGTGAGACACTGCAAGACACACATGATAACCCAACCTAATCCAACCCAGATATGCAGACCTGTTGAATAGTAGGGACACACTACTGCACATGACGGCTGAACCAGCCTTACCTGACCGGGAGAAGAATAGAAATATAAGTAAAAAAGAACTAACTTATGATTGTCTCAATCAACATTATAACAAACTTAAATAGCAAACTTTAAGCGTAGTTCTCGAACAGCTAACAGAATAAAAGTTCAAGATAATATACAACAGCAGAATTTACATAAAAATGAATTATTTCACCTAGTATAGGTTTTGTTTGGTTTTTAAATTTTCTTCTGAAAATAAACTTTCCCACGAGACTCGCCCTGATCAATAACCTATATATGGAACTGCTTTTTATCAGAGCTAGCAGGACTGAGATAGGTCAGTCCGTAGTTCCGGAAGGTGGATGACAATTTTGCAGAGGACACTTTGAGCTATCCAACCACATAATTTAAGTTGAAGAATTTGTTGAATTCGGTACCTGGCGTCTTCTTCTTTTTTCACTCGTCAGGTGCACCACCGAAGAATTTGATAATCTCAAGCCTCCTTAGATGAAAAGGTGCAATCAAGTCTCCTCTACAAAATAGTGCAGAAAAAGCAGCAGACCTCTACAGCTTTCCGTTCCCGAGTTAGTCAAACAACAACTGGCACCGTTGTTTCCTGATGTTGACAATTAGTCGGTTTCATGGACAATCCTTTAGAATGTGCTTTGCTTCTGGACACATCGTACACAACTGCTTCGTTTGAAGTGGTTTTAAATAAATCGGTTTATGTATAGCCATTGGCTGACGATAATATTGTGTTTCAACCGCAAATGTCCTCGCTACACTTGATGGAGCAAACTTAGCGTTAACATCGTGTAAATAAACTGAATACCATTCATCTTCATTCCCGCGCCCAGCATATTCTCTGATTTCTAAAACTTCAAGAGTTTTTGATCGACTACGTAATGAGAAGCCACCATTACCAACAGCACGTGGATTTGAGAGATTCCACGGTGCACCAACGTAATCATATTCAAGATAATCTGAAAAGATGACAGAGACCTCATTTGAGTTTAGTTTTCACGATTATTTAGAGCAGACTTTGTTGGGAAGCCTTTTGTCGCAACTTTAATACTAGAAATATATGAGATCAGAAGTAAGAGAAGGCTACTCTGTTCTATTGTAGTACTAGGATGTGAACAGGTCAAAACCCATAAAAACAAGTTTATAAAGAAGAATGTTCAAGAACGCATTTTATCGACCAAGAACGTGTGCGTACGCGTTCAGATGCATTCGTAGTAAAGACGAACGCGTTTCTTCTCAAGATAAACATATTGTCACTGAATGCGTATCGTAACCGATAAGAACCCTGTCCTTGGGAACGCGCTCGAATGCGTTGAATAACGATCGGATTCTATGACTGTAGAGCGCATTCCTAAGTTTAACTAGGACGCGTTCTTACAGCCATAGGACGAGTTCGTGCGTTTAAAAAAAGAACCATTCCTGATTTAGAAGAGTCCGTTCTTCAAGGGCACGCTTGGATACATTCAGTAAGAACGCGTTGTTAACCCTTGACAGCTGCTTGAGGGTCCAGTTGGACCCACTGTACAGTTTTCTGTTTCTTACTCAGCAGTATTCATCTCTTTCCTAATCGTCAGTCTTCTGTCCATGCACACTACTTATATCAAGTCTCGTGAATGAGTCTTACAGACAAAAAACTGGAGTGTGGGTCGGCACGGATCCGATAACAACCATGGTGTTATATTAACGATTCCCGCCGTGTTAGAACTACCCTCTGTCGTTTGGTAGAGCAAACGTTTTTCTACAAAATGAGACGTTCCGCAGCCATGAGCGAATCTTGATAACCGATGTATAGAAATCTTCCAGGATGCTCCAACACCAGTTATAAACTGGTGCATACCTAATTATAAAATCTTTCCCAAAAATGTCTTTTAAATAATATACGTTTACATAACCTGCATCAGTATCTACGCCTAGAAGAAGCATTGATCCACGCATGAAAAGCTTCAATCAAATGGTAAAAAGCTTGAACTTCTCTCATACGTTCCCGTATGGGTCTAACCGGACCCCTGAGCAGTCATGAAGTACAAAAATGAGAACAGTTGTCAAGGGTTAAGTGACAGAAACGCGTTCTGAAAAAAAAGAAAAAGAACGCGTTTTGTTTCAAGTTAAAAGAACAGAACTTGGTTCATTGGATCTCAAGTTGGCATATGAACGTCGTGGCTGATATGCTTCTGAGGACTATCCAAGAACTGAGAAATAGGAATTCCGATACCGACAGAATTCCAAAAACCGATAGGTTAGGAATCCTATATCTCAGTTCTTGGACACAGCTGTCATTATTCGCAATTACGCTTTGGAGCTCGTTGCTCCGTGTCCAGAACTTATGCTGCGCTTGTTTGTCTGATTGTTGGGACCTTGTTTTTTCGTATTTGTCTCTCTCATTTATCTCGTTGTCCACATTTCCCTCTCGTCTGTTTCCCAATATACCCCACTTCTCTTATTCTTCACTCATTCTTATCCATAGCTACCATCTATTAACGAGACTATCTAGTGTCTCACGTCCCTCCCCCAGCACCTAGCAAAGAAAAACGCTCCCGAACGCATTACTTAAAAACAGCGACCGAACTAGGAGAGGAACACGTTTAGCGACCGGAAGAACGGAGAGAGAGTTAGGAAGGGTGGGGCAGTAAAGCTTTTTTCCATCAGTTAGGAACACGATCTTCTAAACTAGGGCTGCTACAAACATAACAAAAGCGTTATTACTTATTACCAAGTAATAAGTAATAAATTTCAAAAGTAATAAAAATAATAAAAAGTAATAAGAAAATAAAAAGACGATAGAAAATATTTTTAATCATCAACTGGATTTCGGTTCTTACATTGAGACATTAACACAATATCGAAACTTATTTTATAAGTTGGATTCGAAAATATTTCCAGTAATATGCGAGTCTTTGATGCGTCTCGGAAATCCTTTTAATATTTATATTAGATGACGAATCTTCCACGTCCACATGAAATCAGAGAAGAATCCACAAGATACCGTAGTTAGACTCGCTGGGATTTAAAAGCCACAGAAGAGAGTTCGCTTGTGCATTTATAAGTTCGTAAAGGCAAGTGACGCGTGCAGACGAGCGTTACCTTGTCAAATAAAAGATCTACATCAATATATTAATATATTTTGAGA